AAAAAAAGGTCTGGCTGATAGATAAACACATAAGACATTGCAAGATTCATCATCTCAACAAAATTCTAATAAGCAACCTGAAAATTGTCATATATTATTCTTTATTAACGTCGAAATAATATTGCACATAAAGTTATATCTTCTGGGTCACAACCGAATTAGCTACCCCAGCTTCCTCGATCGTCTGATCCAAGTCAGCCAGCTGCTTGGTAGGGAATCCCATTGTCTGCAGCTGGTAACCCGTTGACCCGCCGGGCCTTGATGCGTCTATGAAGCCCCGGACATCTCTAATTGTGTGGTGGTGGTTGAAGCGCGAGACCAAACGCGTGCCATCTGCCAACCTTAGCTGAATCGAGAGCTTGAAGAAAGCATACCATGTTCAACAGATGCTGCTAGAGCCCCCACATGTCTTGCCTGATTGAATAGTTCGTCTATGTCGGTTGCTTTTGATGGATCCTGAACAAGCACCCCCCTGTAACAAAAATTACCATGACATAAATACAAGTATAACATAGACAGTTGGTACTCGGTACATAATAAACTGGTAAAGACATTGACCACAAGTAAGTAGATAAATGGTTCGACAAATATTACATGACTGGTTTGAGATGAATGTTTTGATTCAAACGAAACAATAGTATTTCTCAAAGCTTGGACAATTAACTTTAAAGTTCTCAACTATCACTTAATAATTTAAGCCATTTCATTGAAATGTTCGCAACTCTTGCCGAATAAATCACATTTCACGGCATCCACATCATATTAATGTAGTTTTTGCATCACATCTCTTGCAAAGATTGTAACAGCATATAACGATAAAACCGACATGCATGGAGATAAGTGAACAACACATGTGAACAACACAGCAGAATTAGTCACAACCTCATACAAAGAACACCAAATTACGAAAACATAACCTCAGACAAAGAAATCACAAAATAGTCATACATAAACCGAGTTTTTCATTCCAACATTCACAATAACCATACTAAATAAAGTGCTACCATATGCCTACAAAACCAAAGAAAGACATCATATTCCAGTGATAAATCAACTTAATATTCTAGCATATTTCATTTCAAACAAAGATAATAAATCTACAACATAACTAAAATAAGCCAAACTCTGGAAAAGTCCACCAACTTGAACTCAATTGTGAACTCATAACAGAAACCACAATATATAGGGAAAATTATAAAAACTACCCTTAATGTACCTGGGAATCGAGCGAGAATGCTGCAATCGGATGAACTTTCTTCCACAATCCGTCGTGGCTCGCTGGAAACGGGTAAGATGCTGCAATTGAGAAATCAAGCGAAACGAGATGCTTCAATCCTGCATTCACCAAGGGAATAAATACTCACCACATTCAGTTCAATGATCAACAAGTCAATGTTTACACTATCTGAATAATAATATGCAAACAAAAGACACAAAAATCATGGCTATTTCTTGTCATGTAACAATCATAGAAGATATACAATACTGCATACGAAAGAGTACAACCAGCAATATATAAGAAATAATAAGTAACCATATGATACTTGATAAATTGCTCACGAGCTTATATGAAACTTTGTCCATAGTCACAGTGTTCGCGAGCCTTTACTGACAATGTGACCATAGACAAACAGCATTGGCGTGAAGAAGTGCCTGACCAAAATAGATGTTTTCATAAAGAAACAAGAAATTTACAATATGTATGCACAAGTTTATGCAAGGAACCCCAATCATTGGCCCTAATGTAAACCTCAGGCCGCTCCAGGGCTTTAAACGGCCCCTCACGCTGCCAAGCTTATTTTGAAGTTGATTCCCATTGCCCCAAGTTCAGCATCTCCATCTCCAACCTCAGTCACCGTGCGAAACAGTCCGTGTAGGAATTTGAAATCAGGGTCTCTGCTAAACCTCTCAACGACCCTTTTCGCACCAAGGATCCTCTTCTCATCTCGTCTTAAGTTTGGCTCGATTTTCTCCTTTTTCTACTTCACTCCACCGCCCCTCTTCACTCCGCCGCCGAACCTTCTTCTACCACTGGAATAGCCTCTACCGTACAATTTCTTCATCTCCTTCATATGTTTCTTCTGCTTCCACTTCTCGTACGCTTCCGGGAGTCTGGGCCTTCGAGAACCCGAAGATAATCTCGATCAGGTCCTTAGCCGAAACTCGCCAGTGAGTCGATGTTGCGGGCTAAGGTTTTGGGGTGGTTCTTGTGCAGCCAGAGCATCGTGTTTCCTATCCGATTTCTCGAAAAATCTTTTGTGTTCATCAATAAACTATGGAAGTCAAAGAATATGCGGGTAAAATTGTGAGATAACCCTAATTTTTAAAAGGTTATTGCCGCTTAATATTTTGCTCCAGAAATAATGGCTCTCGTTTCAATTATTTTGGTCGGCCAAAGTGGGCAACTAATATTAGGAGACAATTTTCAATAATTATATAATTTTTAAAGAAATAAACTCATATGCCAACTGCCTAATAATAATAATAATAATATATACTTAAAATATTATCATTGACAATTATAAAATAAAATGAATAAGCATATAAATATGTACATGATAGAATAAAATCATTAGAAATCATCAAAATAAAATGAGAACTAGATATAAAAATAGTATATAATTTTATGTTCTAATTGATTATTTGACCTTTTACTATCTATGTTTGAAAATGTTGAGTGAAAGAAAAAAAAAGTGTTATGCTCTTAATAATATTGAATGAGCTCATATAAGATCCAAAATTATTGTTTGGACAATGCAAATTATAATTTCAAGATAAAATTATTACACAAAAGAAACATTAATTTATGATTCACTTTTTTTGTTATTATTTTTAATTTGAAATACAAATTTCTTTAACTAGCATCCATGTAATACACAAATATTGTACTAGTAATTAAATAATATCAATCAATCATCATCACACCTCACATCAACTTAAAAGCTTATATCAATTAATTTGTAGAAATTATATTATTTATAAGCTTATAGAATTCTATAAATGTATATGATCATTTTAATTTTTCATTATTTGTTCATATTAATTTCTTTAATTCACTTTTTCAACCTATGTAATGAGTTAATTAGTATCCATTTGAATGTTTAGATACATTATATATTCCATGATTACCAAGTGGTATAACTTAAATTATGATACGTGACTAGGGCTGTTTTTCGAACCGAACGTTCGCGAACAAAGCTCGTTCGAGTTCGTTCGTGTTCGATAACAGCTCGTTTGTTTAGCATTCGAACCGAACACTAACATAAAATTAAGCTCGTTTAGTTATCGAACGAACACGAACATGTTCGCGAACAAAAAAAGTATTTTATAATTTTATATATTATATATAGTATATACATGTATAATATAATATATAAATATGAATATATATTAAATATTAAATAAAACACAAATATTTAATAATTTTATATATTATATATAGTATATACATATATAATATAACATATAAATATGAATAAATATTAAAATTTAATAAAATAACTTGTATGACATTAAAAAAAAGGTTAAAAAACACGAACACGAACATGTCGAACAACTCGAACACGAACTTGTCGAACAGTTCACGAACATGTTCGACTAGATAAACGAACGAACACAAACGTGTCGAACCAATAAACGAACGAACACGAACAAAATTTTTTGTTCGTTTACTAATCGAACGAACACGAACATGTTCGAAAATTAATCGAACTCGAGCTCGAACACCTTAAGCTCGGTTCGGTTCGGTTCGATAACAGTCCTATACGTGACTATTTTATTTACTTATTTTTATTTATAATATAATATATGTATAAATTATAGTTTTTTAAAACTTGAATAGTTTTGTAATGTACACAGATATTTCTAAGGTGAAATTTATAATTTTGAATTGTACCCGATAATCAAACATTAATTTTAATAATATAGTTTTTCATGTTTCAATGGTACTATTATTAAAAATGATATATTCAATAGAAATTTACCTTTTTATAGTTAAGTTAACTACATATTAAAAATTTTTATTAATATTTTAAATTATTCCTTATGTTAGTATAATCCAAACATAGTTATTATAATGACAACCATAAATGATAATATATTTAATCAAATTATTGTGTCAATAAATTACTATGAAATTAATATAAAGATCTTATTGAAAATATATCTAATCAATCCACGGTCAAAATAACTTTTTTAAGTCAATTTATAGTTAACGAATATTAGCCATTGAGTACATAAAAATTAATATGATTAACAATATAAGTCAACCGACGAATTTGATACGTACATTAATACAATTATACTAGGATTTATTAAAAATTGTCTCCTAATTTAAGTTACCCGTCTTTGTCAACCAAATAATTAAAACGAGTGCCATATTTCGGAGAGCAAATGAATAGGCAGCAATAACCCCTTTTACAAAAATTAGGGCAATATATGAGATATCTCTTAATTTCACCTAGCATATTCAACTTCTTCGACTTCCATAGTTCCATTGATGAACTCAAAGCTTGTCAGGAAATCGGACAGGAAAGTGGGCTACACCCGAAGCTCTGGCTGCATACACTACAACAAACATGCGTAGTAGGAACAATTAATTATTATTGTGACCTATATTGACATTCATCCAACTCAAAGAAACTGAGATAGCAAAATGATGCTAAAATATTTGATATACCACACGAGTTTTGTAGATTCAACCAAAACATTACATGTACAATAGCCAAACAAATTATTGTCTAATTGGTCCCTTTTCGAAAAAAAAAAAAAAAAATAAGAAGAAAAATACAAAGTAGCCAAAATGAAGCACAATAAGGCTACATTTTAATTTTTAAACATGAAGATTAAGTCTGCTCATCTATTCGCAAGCCGGAAGGGCATCATTTTCCTCCTGCTTATTCATCTTCCACATCATGCCAAGTCCCAACTTGTGCCTTGAGCCAAGCAATTGTTTCGGACATCTTGCAAGCTAGAATATTAAAAATAATGAAGATTACATTATGACTAATTTATAAAATTATAACATGAGAAAAACAAATATAACATTAGAATGAATAAGAAAAAAAAGATAAACATAATCTTCTAAGTTCCACCTCACTTTGATAGATAGTATGGAGTCTAAATAAAGCATGCATTCCAAAGCTGTACAACGAAGTTCATATTTTAAGTTCATTTTCAAAATTGAGGCATGCTGTGATTATTAAAACAGAGAGTACTCCACATTGTACAACTGAGCCCTACATTTGTAGTGTAACCGAAAACATCTTGTTTTTCGCTTTGATAATTGTAGAACATCAATGTACCTTTTGTAATTCGGTAAAAACCTCATAATAATTTTTGTTAACCTTTTAATTTTCTCACTCTAAAAAAAATCGTAATTCAGCATCTTTGTCAGCGGAAGAGTACTAAGAAACATACCACCACAACTAAAACATTGTTGAGAAATTTAAATGGAAACAAATATGCAACATCTATAATAAAATAATATATTGTCTAGCAAACAATGATCTCCCATTTAAACCAATGCAAGAATTACTGATTGATCTCCACATGAACACTCTTCTTAGTTGGCAGGTACTTTGCTGTGCACACTACACGTAACAGATTCGATGAAGTATACAGAACCAAAGGCGTGCACAGCAACAAAGGCATATAATGTTTAAATTTCGAACGGCCCAAATGAGAGAAAAGTAAACAAGGTTTCAAGCAAAGTATATAGGTTCTCAATGTGAATGTATAACCAAAATTTCCAAGGTTCAACAGCCAATACAAAAATATTCCCAAACCAACCAACTTCATTTCTAAACCGAAAAAATAAGAAAGAAAAAGGGGCGAAAGGAACTGATTCACCTAATAAGCACCCATGTATGTATACTATATGCTTCTATTAATTATTAATAACTGCAAAATGACTGTACCTGTTAGATATTTGAACCTAAACTAAACTGACATCAATAAAAGCAAATGAAGTGAACATACATGTGGTAAAATGGCAAGTTGAAGTGGTAGTTCAGTAGATCCAATCAGACTAATAGCAGATGTAATTGTACGAGCAATCTCTTCCCTAACTCGCCAGCTTCTGTGTGCCCAAGTATGAGATCCTGCTCTTTCAACAATAATAGTCGGTGAAGACACCTACTGCAAAGACAATATTCTCAATTCTGAGAATGAATCTCATAAAATTTTATCAAGAATGCATTTATATTATTAAAGAGCCTAATGCAGGCTAGTTACATAACGTTGAGACTACTGGACTGCCAATGAATTAGAAACTGAAAAAATTCAGTTATTAACCGTCAGGTCAACAATTTTGGCGGCACAGCTCAAAGTCTCGGCCGTTCCCGGTGGCCTCAGAAGATCACAAGAACATCAAAATTGTCCCCATCAAACAAGTATAAACCAGGTCCAAGCTCCAATTTTTCCCCTCTTTTCTCCATGTCATCTTCACCACGTGACAGACAATCACTCGTCAGTTCACTTCATCCAAAAACTAACCAACTAAAAAGCAAAAATTGAGAATCGCCTGAAACCATAACTATTATGTAAAATCACAACTAACCGCACAAGCATTTGCACAAACAACAACTTAAAAGCACAATAAATAAATAAATAAAAAGGAAAGCGCATAGTCAATAAGTTGTCGGCATAGAGTATGTCAAAAGAGACCTGATCTTTGAGGGAGACAGCGGCTCTGAGAAAAGCATCAGCCGGCCGCGAAAGGTCGGAGGTCGCCAGATTACAGCCAGATCAGAGAATTTTGAGCCGCTCATCTCCATCTTCATGGCCGTTGTTCATGTTGGTACTGCCCTTCCTGCCGAACACCCGATTGTTGCCAATTTTTTCGGCTAACTCGAGCTCCCGCCGGAGCTTCCTGTCGATTTCCAACTCGTCTACGGCGGCCTACAAAATCCCCATGTTGGGCCCGAATTCGCTATAACGACAGTTAGATTCAACAGGGAGAGCGGCGATTAGAGGGTTTCTCCGATTTTTTTCCGGCGATCGATCCAGGAGGTTCAACATGGGTAAGTTAGGGCATGAGAAAATAATGAGAATCGTCCTGTCGAGAACAAAAAAGAAGAAGAGAAATTTGAGTAAATAAATTGAAATGCAATTTAAGGATATCTTGTGCTTTAATTGAGATATGTAATTATTTATAGTGTGAATGTTAAGAATGAAATATTCAATGATCTTTTATGTAAATTTATTAAAAGTTGTTTTAAGTAAGGGTATTTTAGTATTTACATAAATTATTAGAGACACTTGGCATTTATTTGAGACATATCTGTTGTTATGCATGTACGAGGCATGTACGAGGGTACCTAACGGTAGAATGACCCTAGTTAGTTTGCAGATATAAAGAAAATGTGTTTGTTTTTTTTGGTACAAATTGAGATATAGTTTTGTTTTTTTTTTTTTTNCGCTTTGTTGTTTATTTTCTGTGCTTAAATTCTCAGAATTTTTAGATTTTGTGCTTTGGTTGTGTAGATTAAGTTTTCGCCTATATTGTGTGTGTGTGTGTGTATCAGTGTGTTTGAAGTTTTTGTTTGTAGGACAAAAAATTCGCTTGAAATATTGGAGTCCATTGCCAGCATGGTCATAGATTTTCTTTTAACCAAACATGATTTTCTTAATTCTTGGACCACTTGTTTATTTCTGTTTTTTGCTATGAGAGTCTAAAGGCTAAGATTTGATATCTATAGTGGAGTATGTTATAATAATGAGTGTAGAATTAATTATGCCAACAATATCTTGCATTTTGATTGCTCAGATGATGGAGTCTCCACCCAACTAATTGATTAATTTGGTAGTTAGCATATTAGGTGGTTGACTTGCAATTGGTGATTAATTAAGTGGTTTGGTATCAACCAATTCATTTATTAGTCCAACCATATTATTATTGCTATGCTCTCTATCCCATCTATAAATAGAGGACTCGGTGGAGAGGAAAAAAATGCACAAGAAGAAAAGGGAAGAAAGTGAGAGAAAAAGAAATAAAGAGATATATAAATAATTTTGGAGGGATAAAAATATTAAAGGGAAAAATATAGAAATATTTATTTGTTATCAAAATAATAAAAGAGAGATATTTTTATTTTTATTTTTTAGTGCTCAATTCTCGACTCCGTTCCAGTTCGCCGGAGCTCGTAAATCTGGTGTGCTACAGATTTAGAGACGTTTGCCGTTGTATCTTTGGGGAAGTTACGCCAGAACCGTTAGCTGCCACACGGGGCGTATTCTTCTTGCGGAAAGAGTTTTACTCGCCTCGGCTAAAATCTTTCCGTTTGTGTTTTTAAGTTTTAATTTATTTTTCAGTTGTAATTTATTTTTTCAGTTCAATTGTAATTTTCTATTTTTAGATTATTTGTAAGAACTGAAAAAAAAAAAAAAATATCAGTTCGTAGGATTCCCGTGTACTTTTTATACCCGATATTTAACAATCGCAAGAAGAATATCTCAACCTACTGGACTGATGGCTTCCACCGAAAATGGTTCCAACACTCAGCATCCGATCAATCATGTACCTGCTGTCCATGTCCCTACTACTGAGAAGCCCGAAAAATTCAATGGGCTTGATTTTAAAAGGTGGCAACAAAAGATGCATTTTTACCAGACCACTTTGGGTTTGGTGAAATACCTGAAGGACGACCCTCCGGTTATTGCTGAAAATGAGACCAATACTGAACTACGCACTGCGTACGAAGCTTGGGGGCAAGGTGATTACCTTTGCCGTAACTATGTCCTGAACGGACTTAGTAACGAGTTGTACAATGTATACAGCTCGGTTGGTTCTGCCAAAGAGCTTTGGGCTGCTTTGGAAAAGAAGTACAAGACCGAGGATGCCGGGGCGAAGAAATTCGTCGTCGGAAAATTTCTTGAATTCAAAATGCTTGACACAAAGACCGTTGTGGCACAAGTGCAAGAATTCCAACTCATCTTGCACGATATTCATGCTGAGGGAATGTCTCTGAGCGAGTCATTCCAAGTTGCGGCTGTGATTGAAAAACTGTCGACGGGTTGGAAAGACTTCAAGAACTACCTCAAACATAAGAGGAAGGAAATGAGTCTTGAAGACTTGATTGTTCGTCTTCGTATTGAGGAGGACAATCGTAATTCATCGGGGAAAATTCCGATGATGGAGGCTCGTGCTAACTTGATAGAGCAAGGCAACTCGAGCAAGAGAAAGTCCCTAGACAAAGGGAAGCAGCTTGCCAAGGTTTGGAAGTTTACCGGAACTTGTTATAATTGTGGAAAGCCGAACCATATGGCTAAAGACTGCAAGAGGCCAAAGAAGGCTGGGCCAAAGAAAGGTAAACCGAGTGCCCTTGTAGATGAACACGGCCCTGTGCCGGGTGAACTAACCGACTTTGATATGTCGGCTGTGGTGTTTGAAGCCAATATGGTGGATAACTCAAGGGAGTGGTACATCGATACTGGTGCCACTCGTAATGTGTGTTCCGATAAGGAGGTATTTTCTGAATACACTCCTGCTAAGAGTCGGAAACTTTACATGGCAAACTCCGCCACGGCTGATGTGGCTGGAGTGGGCACTGTGGTGCTGAAGCTGACTTCTGGAAAGGAGTTGAAACTTAAGGATGTTCTGCATGTCCCAGGCATCCGCAAGAATTTGGTCTCCGGATCTCTTCTTGTTGAGCATGGATTTAGGCTGGTATTTGATGCTAAGAAATTTGTTCTTAGCAAGTTTGGAACTTTCCTTGGTCGTGGCTATCTCGACAAGGGTATGTTTAAAATGAATGTAATGGCCGTGAGCCGTGTAACCGTTTTAAATGATAATGAAAAGCCTATTTCTGTTTATACCGTTGAGTGCTCTGATTTATGGCATATTAGATTGGGACATGTAAATCGAAATGCAATTAAACGGTTGATGAATTTAGAATTAATTCCTAATTCTAAATTTGAATCACATAAAAAATGTGAGATTTGTATTGAAGCAAAAATGGCTAAGTTGCCTTTTCACTCGGTGGAAAGGTGTGCTGAACCATTAGGCTTAATCCATACTGATGTATGTGATATGAAAAGTGTGCAAACAAGAATGGGTAAAAAGTATTTTATTACTTTTATCGATGATTGCACAAGGTTTTGCTACTTATATTTATTAAGAAGCAAAGACGAGGCTGTGGAAGCATTTAAGATTTATAAAACCGAAGTTGAAAATCAACTCGGCAAAAGGATTAAAATAATCCGAAGCGATAGGGGTGGGGAGTATGTAGCTCCTTTTGAACAAATATGTTCCGAATATGGCATAATTCATCAAACGACTGCCCCTTATTCTCCATAGTCAAACGGTGTTGCTGAACGCAAGAACCGTACTTTAAAAGAAATGATGAATGCCATGTTGATAAATTCAGGATTACCTCAAAACATGTGGGGGGGAAGCTGTTTTAACAGCAAATCATATTCTGAATAAAATACCACCTAAAGGGAAAGATGAGACTTCTTACGAAATGTGGAAAAATCGTAAGCCGTCTTATAAATACTTGAAAGTGTGGGGGTGTTTGGCTAAGGTTTCAGTACCGGAACCCAAACAAATGAAAATCGGGCCAAAGACGGTCGATTGTGTATTTATTGGATATGCGTACAATAGTACAGCATATAGATTTCTGGTTCATAAATCAGAAAATCCATAGGTATTTGTTGGTACCACGATTGAGTCGAGGAATGCTATATTCTTTGAGAATATTTTTCCTCTGAAGGAAAGAGCAGAATCTAGTTCTAATAAACGAATGTATGAAACTGCTAGTGGTTTTGTACCAGAGGGTACTGATGAAGAACCAAGACGTAGTAAAAGGTTAAAAACGGCGAAAACATTTGGACCTGATTTTATTACGTACATGTTGGACGATGAACCGAGCTCTCTTAAGGAAGCTCTGTCTAGCCCAAATGGACCACTCTGGGAAGAAGCTGTAAATAGCGAAATCGAGTCCATTATGCAGAACCATACTTGGGAGTTGGTTGATCTCCCTGATGGTTGTAAACCTTTAGGATGCAAGTGGATCCTAAAGAAGATTTATAAAGCTGATGGATCGATTGATAAGTTTAAAGCACGTTTGGTGGTCAAAGGCTTTAAACAAAAAGAAGGGTATGATTTATTTGATACCTATTCACCAGTTACGCGTTTAGCGTCGATAAGAGTGCTTCTCTCGATTGCTGCTTTGCACAATCTTGAGATTCACCAAATGGATGTCAAGACGGCATTTTTAAATGGTGAATTGGAAGAAGAAATATACATGGAACAACCTGAAGGGTTTGTTGCACCTGGACAAGAGAGAAAGGTGTGTAGATTGATCAAATCCTTGTACGGACTGAAACAAGCTCCGAAACAATGGCATTTGAAATTTGATGACGTGATGTTGTCAAATGGTTTCAAAATCAACGAATGTGACAAATGTGTTTATGTCAAGAGTACATCAAATGCATTTGTGATTGTATGTCTATATGTAGACGATATGTTGATCATGGGGAGTAGCCATGAAGTGATCATGGATACGAAAAGAATGTTGAAAAGAAATTTCGACATGAAAGATATGGGTTTGGCTGATGTTATTCTTGGAATAAGGATTATCAGAACCCAAGATGGAATTGTCTTGTCACAATCTCATTATGTAGAGAAAGTGCTCAAGAAATTTGATACCTATGACGGTGCACAGTCTAGGTGTAAGACACCCATTGATCTTAGTATAAATCTGGTAGCCAATAAAGGTCAACCAGTGGCTCAGTTGGAATATTCACGGATAATAGGGAGTCTGATGTACTTGACGAATTGTACACGACCAGACTTGGCCTACCCGGTGAATAAGTTGAGTAGATTTACGAGCAATCCCAGTCATGAACACTGGAATGCTTTGAGAAGGGTACTTAAGTACTTAAGGTACACTCTTGAATACGGGCTAAAATACTCGAGATACCCAGCCGTACTTGAAGGGTACTGTGATGCAAGCTGGATATCAGATTCGAGAGATTCTCGCTCCACTAGCGGATACGTTTTCTGTATTGGAGGAGGTGCAGTTTCGTGGAAATCCACAAAACAAACGTGTATAGCTCGGTCAACGATGGAATCGGAGTTCATAGCTTTAGATA